AGTGAGAATTTTCTGTAATATTTTTATGATTCCTATGCACGCCTCAGTTTCAGTATGTATTTTGCATCGCTATCTGGGGGCACAAAAGGTTTAAACACTTGAGATGTTGGGTCACCTAGGTGTGGGGTGGAATGAAGGGTTATTAAAGGACTGGCTGAAACCAACCTCTATCAGTGGAGAATGGAAACACAATGGAAGCCTCAAGGATTAAGCAACTGACACTTATGGGAATCTCTGGCAGGCAGAGCATGTAAACTCAACATGGGCCAACAAGCTCTGGATAAGAGTTGGCTTTTGGGACGGGTTCAGCAGCTCTCACCTGGGAATGACCATGAGACGGAGCCACCCAGAGCCAGAAGCAGATTCCATAGCAGCTTGGCCAGATGGAAAGCTGACTTGCCCAGAATGGCCTATGTTTTAACCTTTATTTCTCGATGCTAACCTAAGGATTTCCTCATGCTGTGTTCCAGCTGACTAATAAATCCGACTCTGTTTTGAAAGGCTGCCAGATGGCACTTCAAATACTTGCTGAGGTGCACTGGTCCCTGAAGAGAGTAAAATTCTGACCAGAAGTCTATCTCTGTTGGATTCACTGAGCAGAGCTCACAGTGTGAAACAGCAGCGCTAGAGCCTAGATGTCTTATAGGTGCTGAGTCTATGTGGCCTACCCTCAAGGAAGAGTGGGACCTCTTGAGGGTCTGACACAGAGCGGTTCCTCCAAGGGTCCTGTTTAAAAGCTGGGACATAGCAGAGCTCTTGTGTATCCGTGACAGAACTCTGACAGAAAATTTTAATTAAAAAAATCTGCCTTTTTATTCAGTGAAGTTGTTTTTCCTTGAAGTGGTTGGGAGACTAAGGCATTTCTAAAGCTCCATATTCACCTAAGTATCTAGGTGATCTGCTTGTAAGATCAACAGATACTACATCCCCTTTGAGTGTTTTGATTCCTTGTGCAAACTTATTCATAAAATCCTAAGATTAGTTTGAGCAGAGGATGTGTGCTGGTGCTACTGCACACAAGAAGTCAGGCAGAAATAAATCCTGGAGTCCTGACTCCCAGTGGCCTGGCCTAGCTTCATATAAAAATACTTAAAAGCCTGGTATTGAAGACTTGTAAGTTATCCAGGTATGTATTGGATAACAAACTCCGTTCTAGTGAGAAGTGTATACTATATATAAATTGCACACGAGAACTACATTAAGAAAATTAAGATTGCAAAGTCATGCACCCAAAAGCAAAAGTAGTAAGGTGTAAATTATTGACAGTGAAGGTAATTAACCATTGGGACAATTTACCAAAGGTCATGGTGGATTTTCCATCCATCACTGGCAATTTTAAAATCAAGACTGGGTGTTTTTCTAAAAGCTATGCTCTAGAAATTATTTTGGGGGAAATTCTATGGCCTGTATTATGCAGGAAGTCAGACTAGATGATCACAACGGTCCCTTCTGGCCTTGGGATCTATGAAAAAAAAGCAAGTGTTAGAATTAAGGTTACCTATGCAACTGTGCATTATAAAACAGTCTTTAATTACATGGTCATATACTCCCCGCTCCCGCACATCTATAAGTCCCTGCCTTATTCAGTGCACAGGACTGACTGTGCTCATTTAATGAGCAGCTATTCAATATTTCATTTTATACTTGTTTACTGCTCACCATTCAAGTTCTGTTATGAATACAGAATTAAATTCTTCATGGCTTTTCTATGGCTATCATCACTATAGTACAAGTGCTTCACAAACATTAATGCATCTATCTTCATAACAAGTCAAAAGTATCCACTAATTTGGGTGTCAAGTTTGAAAAGTGACTAGGACCTGATTTTTTCAGAGTACTTGGCACTTTACACATTCAAATACAGCTCCCAATGACTTCAGTTGCAGCTCTGAGCATTCAACATTCTTGCAAATCAGATCCCAGAGTCTCAAGTCAGGCATCCAGAAAATGAGGAACACAGTCAGTGGCCACCTGTGAAAAGTTTGGTTTAAGTAATTTGCCTAGTGTCACATAGGAACTCTGGCAGAGATAGGGATAGAATCCAAATCTCTAGGGCAGCATTAAACTGCCTAAGCCATGAGACCATCTTTTCTCTCCCTGTAATTCCCCACCCCATTCACTACACATCTTCCAACTTCTACAAGGAGTGAGGCCAGACAACAGCCTCATATCGCAACACAACTGATTAATTCCATGAGCATTGTCCATCCCATGCACAGAATGGGGCAGGGAACCTGCGGGAAAGACAGTATGTGATCATGTAATTAAAGACTGTATCATAATTAAGGGTGGTGAAGCACTGGAGTGGGTTACCTAGGGAGGTGGTGGAATCTCCTTCCTTAGAGGTTTTTAAGGTCAGGCTTCAAAAAGCCCTGGCTGAGATGCTTTAGTTGGGGATTGGTCCTGCTTTGAGCAGGGGGTTGGACTAGATGACCTCCTGAGGTCCCTTCCAACCCTGATATTCTATGATTCTATACTGGGTACACACAAGGGTGACAAATTAAGGTGGCACAGGCAATCTTAAATTCTGGCATTTACTAACTTCTGAGTACTTGATTTTGCAGCCTTAACATTTTAATGTAGTTTTTATGAATGTTATTTCCTAGGTTTTTTAAAAAGCAAACTAAAACCCCTCACAAATTCTATCAGGTGGAAGCCCACTGATTTTTACATGGGTCATCTAAAGGTACTAACCCTGCTGATCCACAGCACAGATCTCAGCTACTCACTTTGCTCAGTGGCAGAGAGCAGTAGTAGTTTGTCATCCTCTATGTAGGATGGGCACATTTTACTAATGGGTTCCTGTGACCAAAGGCACCCATGTTCACACACTACATACTACTGTAATAATCTTGGTACAAAATACACCTTGTAAGGTATCGTTTGAAAACTAATAACTTGCTGCTCAATATGAAATGCTTGTGAAATGTATGTAGCAACATTATATGTAAAGTTATGAATTCCTCCTGTGTGATGGTGTTAGCACATGTTCAAACTCATGCAGCCCTGACTAGGCAAAAGTTGTTAAGCAGGTCTATCCTAAACAAAGATATGTAAATTCAGGTAAATACACATTCAAGTAGTAAACAGGGTCCTTGATCCAGCTAGAGGGTGAAATGGCAGGAGACAAGCATATACAGGGGAGAACAAAGAGCATGCAACCACCCTCACCATCAGCCTCCATGTCGCCTTCTTTACTGTTTGAATAAACTTTGCTTTGATGGGTAATCCTCAGAAGAATCCAATTCAAAAGGGTGGCTGGACTACAAAACTGAGGGGCAAAAACACCCCAAGGCATCTCTCCCTATCTCTCTCTTTTACCTAAGATAACAAAGGAACCAGCCCCTGGACTTTGGGGGAGATCCTGACCTCAGAATTTGGTCAGCAATGTTGTTGGGAACATACCAGTAAGGATTTTACCTTCAACCAAGTCTAACTTGTTAAGTTTTAGCTACCAGAAAGCATTTTAACTTTATTTCTCTTGGAATCATTTCTGACTTTAATACCTCATATTTGTACTCACTTAAAATCTCTTTAAAAATAAAACAAGTTTATTTAGCTACAATCTAAACTAATTCAATGTTGTGTTTCAACTCAGCTGTTTGGTAACTCCAGTTAAAGTAGCAAACTGTTGACCATTGACCCGTCACAAGGGCAATGAACCTCTAATATCTGAACTGTTCAGGAGAGGGCTGTACAGTGCAGAACACAGGTTTTGGGGGAAAATTTTGGACTGGGAGTGTGTTGGGGTCACCCGACAAGTAGTAACCAAGGCTTCTGGAAGCAAGAGTATGTCTGGTGTGTTGCTGACAGGCTGCTGGGGTCAGAGTTGCTGGGTCAGGGCTGTATCTACCTATACAGAGACACGCAGTGTGTGACCTGCATGCTGGTAGGCTGTTTCTGAGCAGCCCAGAAAAGCATTGTGAGGTACCCAAGGTTGCAGGGCAGGCAGGGACAACTTCTCATTGGTCTGGACTGCACCCCGGAATGTGACAGTTCCACAGTTACTTGCTAACAGAGGAATACTGAGACTCAGGAATTCTGGGTCTATTTCAGGTTCTGAGGCAAGTGTATTCTAATAGAAAGAGACTCTTCTGCCCTACTCCCTGCCCCCCCAGCCCCAGCCTGCTTTTGTTTCAGTTCTTTCCACCCCCTAGCTGGTCATCTAAGTCCCCCAATGGCTTTGTCCCAGCCTGTTTTCTCACCACTCCCCCCCTTATCCCTCTGCATTCCAGGCAGGCATCCTCCTCACTGCCTGGGTACCACTATGGAGTGGGAGGGGTCGGGCACTGAAAGCAAAGTAATCTTCCTGCTCAATTCCTGTACCTGGTGTCACAGTGACCCCTGGCTATAGGAAGGAACTGAAAATCCTACTCAGCCTCACAGCATGCCTAATGCAGATGAAATCAGAGAATTTACTTGCCAAAGAAGTTTCTATTGAGCTTGTACAAACAGATTTTCAGAGGCTCATAACTTGGTCAAAGATGGGCAAATGTTCACAGGGATGGCAAAAGGTGCATCCCTGACTCCAGGGTGACCTCTGTGCCAAATTTCAAGTCCTTGCTCCAAGGCAAGGAGGCTCTAGAGCTTCTCAACAAATTTTGAAGCTCATGGCCTGAACATCTTATCCTCCCTGCCCCCCCGAAACCTAGTTCTGAGAAACAGCTGAATTGTTTTTACTGAAAGTTTCAGAAAACTTCATTCTGAGGCAGACACCAAATATGGAAAATTTCAGCCTGAACAGGTAAAGTCTGGCAAAGATATAAGCAATTAAAAATAGGGTCTTATAATGGGGCAACATTAACTATAGGCATTGCTAACTAGGCCACCCATAATATAGCATCTTTAAAGACATGCTCAGTCATAACACATTGAAAATATAGCAACAATAAGACATATATAATTTGTCCTCACAAGTTGCACTAAGTTATGTTGCCACAGAGCTGCTACACTCAGGTCAACATTCTTCCTAAATTCAATTCCTATGAGCACTCCTTTACCTTATTGATTTGACAATGCAGCCTTTGCAAAACCGGTGTCCGCATGGCGTCTGCACTGCTTCCCGTAGAGCCATCAAACAGATTGGACATTCATATTTACTTTCCAGGGGGGGATCAAACTCCACGTCATATCCTTGAGTCTCCTCCGTGAAGGAGTTTGGAAGGTTTCCAGTCCCACTGCTGACAGAGACACCTATGCTGTCTTCTTTAGCTCCAGCACTGCACGCACTGGCCATGGCTGCACAGCAGCCAGTCTCCAGATCTCTGGCTCTATAGCTGTTGTCACTCTGTATCAAGCTCATAGTAACTAGCTGAGTACCGAGGAGACGATCTGGAAGAACAAAGATATGTTAAATCAAGAATTCTAAAAGATGGCTTTCCAGGACCATTCTCCCTCCCGCACTCAGCCCTCATCTTGGACATAAAAAGGGGGTCACTGGGTCCCGAAATGTAAAACCTCCAGCCAAGTTGTTTCAGCTCATGGACTACCTTTTTATTGTCCTAACTTCCCTTCTATCTCACCTCACAATCTTACAACCTGTAGGGAGAAGCAGCCTTAATTTTTTTTAAACCGCTCTTGCAGTCTGCTCCATCTCTGATTTGCCATGTTATTTCAATCTGAAAAGAAAACATCTTTTCTCCCTATTAGAAGGGTCTCTCTAATATTATTTACCCCCATAAAGCCTTCTGAGATAGTTTGTATGAAAAATGCTGTACAAAACCGTTTTATTATATGAAGCAATCTCAGTTTCACATTCTGTGCCACTGTAAGTCATCTTTGACATTTTTAGGAAAGTAGGATTCATGGTTTAGGTTTCAAATTATTTGATATGAGTATTCTGGATGTACATCAGTGAATAAAATAGTACAAGAAACAAAGTAGATGTTCAGCTGCAAATGCGAGTCAAACAATATTGCAACGCTGATAAAATTTTTATATCAGCAACAAGATGCTCAATTTAGTCAGAATCTACAAAACATGAGATAAGGGTCAAATTTCTGCAGTACGATCTGGAAAGGCTAGACACAAGCAAACAGTACTCTAAAATGCTTTCCTGCTCTTCTGTACCTCCTCCAATATAGCTGGAAAGACAGCATCAAAACAGGAAATGAATCCTATTTACCTGCAGAAGGGAGAATATTGTTAGCAAAGTTAGTCTTTCAAATGCTGCTCTCAAACATGAATTCATTTAGCAATAAAGCTGATAAAGGCTAGTTCCTAGCGTTCAAAGCTTTAGGGATACTGCCAACTCTTCTCTGATATTCATCACTTAAGTATACCGCTACCTCGATATAACGCGACCCGATATAACACGAATTCGGATATAACGCGGTAAAGCAGTGCTCGGGGGGGGGGGGGGGCTGCGCACTCCGGTGGATCAAAGCAAGTTCAATATAACACGTTTTTAACTATAACGTGGTAAGATTTTTTGGCTCCCGAGGACAGCGTTATATCGAGGTAGAGGTGTATATTTCTTTAAAGCCCCCCTGTCCTTTTTAACAATACTTTTACAAGCCTGAAAAAGTCTCTTTGCACCAATTTTGTCATTTATTATTTCACAAAGATTGGTTTTCTTCCCGTATGTGTAATGACGATGGTTGGGTCCCCCCTAGTTTTTGTTTTTATATTATCACTTCTCCAAATGACATGAAGTCCACAGAAGCATGGCACAAGGGAGCATAGCTAGGGTATTACATAAAAAAAGAAGAGAATGTTAAGGTTGAAAAGTCAAACACTCAAAAGTTAAGGAATGCCAACATTAATGTTGCCTGTGTGAACTTAATTCAGCTTCAGTTACCTACTTTTTTATTTATTTATTTTACTGGACCCCTGCCTCAGTCAGCACAAAAGATGGATGTGCTCTGGAGGTTAATCAGAGTTGTGTACAGAGTGAGGCTGTTGCCTGTAGACCCCTGCCTCACTTATTACAGAAGCTAGAAGGTTAATGATGAATGAAGCATGGGATTGCAGGAAGAGACAGGATGGTTTTATGGTTAAGGAAGTTGAATGCCATCCTGGATAACTGGATGATATCCCTGCCTCTTAAACCAAAATGTTAACAGGTGGCCAGTGATTGTGTGTTCCTCATTTTCTGAGTGGCCAAACCTGGGGGGGGGGGGGGTGGTGGTGTCAGATTTGCAGAAGAGGAGCATGCTCCCAGATGCAACTGAAGCAGATTGGAGCTGTGCTTTGAACACAAAACACTACAGAAATGCTACCAAAAATAGGGTCTACTAATGGAAAGTGTTAGGCAAGCTAAAATATAGGCATTGGTGGCGTTACCAACACCACCTACAATAATGGGATAAGAAGTATAATTTTGGCCAAATAACAAAACAAAAGTTTCTAATAGTCAAATCTATTAGATTCCAGAATAGTCATTAAGTTCCCATGTTTGGGTCACTTAGAACTAGACTGGAAATGGCCTTATGGGATATACTTTATCAGTCAACCACTGGTGTAGGGAATGGTATAGAAAAACATAATAGGGCTTTCCGTTCCCAGGTGCTAATTTCTAGGAGTTCTAGCTATACTATTTATAATTGTCAGCAGGAGGACTTAAAAGGAATATCCACTTTTTTTGGTGTAGTCTGAGTGGTGGAATTTTAATAACTTCATATCAATTAGTTCTGAGATATGTCATTTAGGATAGACTACTTGGAATATTATAGTACAGTAAGTGGTTTACAGGTTTAATTCAAGGTGCTAGTTTAATTTATAAACTACTATGATTTTGGGTTCAGGCTACTAGAAAACCGCAACCCTACATGCACACACTTCAACCTGGCAACTGAGATCTCCTGGGATGCTCAAGTTAAGAGCCACTGGATTTGTAGAACTAGGATTGGGGGTTCTCAGTAGGCTCTCATTTCTGGAATTCTCCATCACTGACAGTTTGAGTTTGCTGAACTCAAAGGCAAAGTCTAATCTAGCCATTCAGTCAGTTGCCTCAAAAGCTAGGCAAGGCCAAGTTGGCAGGATGGGGTATAGCTCTCAAGTTTGAGACCATCTCTTGTGTGCTTTTATATTCTGTACAGGCATGCTGAAGTGCTGATAGGCAGATTCTGAATAATAAGTAATGCTTCTAAAAGGGACTAGTACCAAACCACTTAAGATACAGATAAGATCAACAGTGTGATGGATCTGGAGTTTTCTGTAATAATTTATTAACATTTGAAATTGACCTGGTTATTGTGATATTTACTGAATGCATATACTGAGTTAATACTGCTGTGGAATTGTCAGGAAATGCACTAAGGGAGGGGAAGGGTGGATCCATACATAGGCTTCTCAGTACACACTTGAGGCACAATGCAAGAGCCATTCACCTTGATCCTCCAGTGAGACCCCCTGGGTGGACTGGTCAGACAGGTTTTTCCAGGTACAAATCAGTACCTGTGAAGGGGGAAGGGAGAAAAATAAGACAAGAGGGCTTAAAGAATCACACTCACAGGGACACAGGTTTTTGAGACTGACCTTACAGCTACATTATAGCTTAAGTCGACATAAGCTATGTCACTCAGTGGTGTGAATTAGGCTGCCGCCCCCCCCCTCCGTGACATAATTTATGCTGATTTAAGCGCCGGTATGGACAGTGCTATGTCTGCGGGAGAGCCACCATCACTGGGACTCTCTCCTGTCACTAGAGAGTTTACTAAACTCTCTAGTGAGGCCATATAGCAGAGGTGGGCAAACTTTTTGGCCTGAGAGCCACATCGGGATTCCAAAACTGTATGGAGGGCCGGGTAGGGAAGGCTGTGCCTCCCCAAACAGCCCGGTCCCTGCCCCCTATCCGCCCCTCCCACTTCCCACCCCGACTGCCCCCCCTCAGAACTCCCGACCCATCCAACGCCCCTGCTCCCCGCCCCCTTACCATGTCCCTCAGAGCAGCAGGACTGGCAGCCACGCTGCCCGGCAGGAGCTTGCAACCCCGCCACCCAGAGCGCTGGTGGCACAGCGAGCTGAGGCTGTGGGGGAGGGAGGACAGTGGGGGAGGGGCTGGGGGCTAGCCTCCCTGGCTGGGAGCTAGCCTCCCTGGCTGGGAGCTCAATGGCCGGGCAGGACGGTCCGCGTAGATTGCCCACCTTTGCCATATAGCCTGAGAAACCAGTCTGCTGTGTGGGGCCTTCAGGAATTAGACTCCTGGCATCCCCTCAGAAGGGTGTTTAGACTCTAGGTAAGCTAGATACGCATGTAGACCTTTTGTTATTTTAAGATCCTTTTCTCTGAAATACTTTGTTCCTATGGTTAAACAAACAATACTTCTGTTTTAAGAAGGCTGTTTTGGGTTATTAATTCACTGGTCACAGCTCCTGAAGGGAAAAACCACAACTGCCCAAACCCAATCAAACCTTCAGGGTAAGAACTAGGGCCATGGCTACACTCTAAACTTCAAGTTTCAGAGTAGCAGCCGTGTTACTCTGTATCCACAAAAAGAACAGGAGTACTTGTGGCACCTTAGAGACTAACAAATCTTCAAAGCGCTCCCGTGGGAGGGCTCCCGCAGCAGTGCTTTGAAGTGCGAGTATGGTCGCGCGCCAGCACTGGGAGAGCGCTCTCCCAGAGCTGCAGGTACTCCACCTCCACGAGGGGATTAGCTGGGGCACTGTTTACACTGGCGCTTTACAGCGCTGTAACTTGCTGTATTCAGGGTGGTGTTTTTTCACACCCCTGAGCGAGAAAGTTGCAGCGCTGTAAAATGTCCGTGTAGCCAAGCCCTAGTACTGTAGACTGGTGCCTAATTTGAGAGAGAATGACAGGATTCCACCCCAGGAAAAGGGAAGGCATAAGACTTAAGGGGGTGCACTCAGAAGAGATGAGGAAACAGACAGGGATGCAGCTAATCCTGTAACCATGACACACAGGTATTCAAGAAGTCAAGCTGAAAGGAAGAAAAGAAATAGAGTAGGCCTTGTGCTTTCATCACAAGTATGAGCATTCCATCTAGTTTATAGAGTAGCATCTGTTAAAGACAGATCTCTTCCTTGTGATCATCATTTTATCCTTCTGGAAAATCCTACTAAAGTAGTACTCCAGGAGAGTAGGATTTTACCCAGTATAATCCTAACAATTTATCATTTACAGCACTTTACAGTTTCTACAGGAGTTTGAAGCATTACACTTACTCCTCTCCAATTTGAATTGCTTTCCTGTAACCAGAGTAGCTATGAACCATTCAGTCTATGGGGAAAAACATCAGAGTCATCTTAATGGATGAGTCAATGAAACCAATCAGCATCCTATTATTGCATAGAAAAATCCCTAATTTAAATTATAAACTAATACTCCTTTCTTACATGGAGCTTTCCATCTGCACACCCTGAAGAGGTTTATAAAAGGTGGCCATCTGTTTTACCTCTGTTTTATGGGGAAACTTCAGGCACAGAGAGACAATACTTTAAACAAATTAATCAAGTCAGTTTTAAGTGAGTTGCGGTGGGGTTCCTTCCAACACCCAGTGACTTAGGGCATGTCTTCACTAGCAATGTTAAAGCTACGAGGGGAGTAGCTCCCAGTGCTGGTGCACTGTCTACACTGCCACTTTATAGTGCTGAAACTTGCAGCACTCAGGGGTGTGTTTTTTCACATCCCTGAGTGAGAAAGTTGCAGCTCTGTAAAGTGCCAGTGCAGACAAGGCCTTAGTTTTATTTTGTCTTAAAGGAAAGTCCCTCCCCACAAGGGAGAGGATGTTTCTAAATCTTGAAGTTTACAGTGTAGCTGTAGACGAACAACTGAAAATCTAACAATTACTTAACCCTAATTTTAAACAATTCCTTCATGTACTTTTTAAAAAAAAATTGAGATCCTTTATTCTTTGTGTGTGCATCTGTTTCCTCATCCTCCAATACTCCACCTGTACTCCTACTCCTGCACAACAGCAGTACTGGAGCAGCATACCAGAGGGAGACAGACATAAACCTAATCTCTTTTACTGTAGGATCAGACACTTCTCCCTTGGCTGAGCTGGGGCAGACAATGAAATGAACTAACAGCGACTTAGTTATGGAAGCAGTGCATGTGCACTAGCATGATTCTTTCCTGGGGAATTTCCCTGCAAGGGGAATTTTAAATTGCTTGTAGTTCAGGTGAAGAGGATAGATTGGAAAATGCAGGTTATTCCCAAAACCAAGTCAAATTTAACCCTTTCTTCGCCACTTCACTGGGAATTTATTCTCCAGTCTAGAAGTCTCAGGAATCCTTCCCAGATATTCAGCTCAAGTTTTTATCCCCTTCCCTCCTGAAAAATATTTCTCTGGTCACATATTATCACTCATATATACAGATTAGTCTGGAAAAATGATGTTTTGTCAGCCATGATATTCCTTTAGCCCAGCACCACTCAGCTATAGTCATCAGAATAGCTTTGAAAGGAGGTGGTACCACCTCCCCAGCGACAAGGGCATAGAATTGAAGAACTGTTCTCTTCAAGTTTACCTACTCAATAAACATGTCCATAGACCAGAGCCACCAGAATTTGTCTGCAATTCAGAAGCCTGGACAAGTTATGTGGAATGCTTTATATGCACACTGTGACCTAAACGTCGGCCATTTATTCTTGGTAACTAAAGGCAATACCAAACTAAGCAGTTCAGGCTATATTTTGTTCAATTAACTGAACATCTTAAACTAAATTGGAGTGCATACATAGGTCTACAAATCCACACAGTAACTATTAAAAAAAAAAAACAACAAAGTGGAACAAGCTCAGAATTAATTTCCGTAATGCTTCTCTTTTTAAGGAACTGTGTAGAGTTTTTAGCCTGTGTGTAAAATACAGTAACTCCTCGCTTAACATTGTAGTTATGTTTCTGAAAAATGCTACTTTAAGCGAAACGATGATAAGCGAATCCAATTTCCCCATAAGAATTAATGTCAATGGGGGGGGGTGGGGGGAGGGAAATTTTTTTTGACAGACAAAAGTGGCTGCAAACATTCCCTGTGGAAACTGAATGTGATGATGAACCCACGCTATCCCACTGGAGCGCACCACTCCCTCGACTTTCCAAAGCGCGGGGGGGGGGGGGGGGAGAAAGAGAAGGTGTGCATGTGTGTGAGACAGAGACAAACACCGTGTGTGTGGTGACAGAGAGAGAGAGACAGAGAGAGAGGCGCATTGCCCCTTTAAGTACGCTGACCCCACTCTAAGTACACTGCCTTTTAAGTAGATTGGCAAGTTGAGACAGCAGCTGCTGCCAGCAAGCTCCCTCCGTCCTGAGCTCTGTCCCCCCCCATGATCTGTGGAGATGGGGTACAGGAGCGGGGGGGAAAGGGGGACACCCTGACATCAGCACTCCTCTTCCCCTCCCATCCCCTGCACAGAAAGCAGGAGGCTCCCGGGAGCAGCTCCAAGGCGGAGGGCAGGAGCACCGCATGGCAGTGCGGGGAGGGACAGCTGAACTGCCCGGGGATAGCCTGCTGGGCAGCTGCTGCACAGGGAACTTAGGGGAGCTGAGGGGGGGCTGCCGGTCCACCCTGGTTCCAAGTCCCCACCAGCTAGCTCCAACAGGCTGCTCTTTCTGCAAGCAGTGGACAAAGCCGGCGGCTGTTATAAGGGAGCATTGCGCAACTTTAAACGCGCACATTCTAATTGATCAGCGACAAAGATACAATGTTAACCGGGACGACGTTAAGTGAGGAGTTACTGTAAGATGCACTCAGTTTTGTCCTACAGACGACTATTTGACAGGAGCCTGAAGACTTCACCTCTTAGGGGGCAGTAGCTGAAGAGATGCTTTCTGAGTTGGGTAGTCAGGCACGGCTTTTCCTTATAGCTGCTGATGGCTGGTGGTGGTTGTCACAATTTACATCAAATTTACTCAGACTGCTACCAACAGGGAAAGCTGCTCTGATAAAAATGGAGAATGTAATGCTGAACACTTCTCTGTCAGTCACATCCCTAGGTCCAGAGAGCAGGCCCAGGCTACATTTTAGGACTCCAAAGGCCCCTCAGTATTGCCTCTTGTGCTTTAAGATCAAACTGCAACTGAACTTTTAACGAGCAGGTAACTTGATGCTGTGAAGCTACTTGCACTCCTGCACTATGAAGCAATGAGACTAAACGGCTTATCTCAGTCAGACCAGAAGAGCTGGCTCTTACATGAGCAACACGACTCATGATTTACCCTCCCCCCGCCAAAAGGCTCAAAATACCAATAGCCGTTTCTTTAGACTATCTATGCAAAATAAGAGTCTACATTCGAACTTAAAAACTTTTGTAACACGGTAAAGATGTTTTAAGTAAAACAAAGAAAACTCCAAGTTTAGGTAAAATAATTTAAATGCCCAATCTACAAGTCACACAATGAGTCCTAAATCTCTTTTGCACTCAAGACTCCTGTTGAAGTCAGCAAGCATTTCGGATGTACAAGGAAGGCAGAATCACACAGAAAATGGTT